TGGGGGTGGGTGGGTGTTAGAAACCCTGCCGCAGGTCTGGAGAGATGGCTCAGCAGCTAGTGCACTTACTGCTCTTGCAGACACTGAATTTGGGTCCCAGCACCCACATCAAATGGCTCACAACTGTCACATCCAACACCTTCTGGCTTCCAAGCGCACCACACACACGGTATACATACATACATGCATGTCCACACACACATAGTCATAAAATAAAATAAAAAATATTTGAAGAGAGATCCTCCCTCAATATACAGCATAGAAAGCAATTGAGGAAGACACTTGACATTAACCTCAGGAAAACACACACACACACACACACAAAAGCAGACATGCACATACATACTAAGCACACATATACATACACATGCAAAATGGAAAAAGAGAAAAAGGGCAAAGATACCACAAAGAGGAAGGCAGAGTCGTGAGGAAATGGCAAGCTGAGGAAATAGCAAACAGAGAAGCAGACTCCTCAGATAGAAACGTACCCAGAGCCAGTGGGTGTCTATGGGGAGGAAGCAAACCCACAGGGAAGCTGCGTGGCCTGAGCTGCACCCTCCGCCTGCAAAGGTCCTTCCTCCAAGCCATTCTGAGGTTCCAAACGACATCTCATGCAGTTACAGTCTAAGGGAAATTGGATCACTATTCAAAACATCCACTGTCCCTCCTTCGGTGTCCTCTCTAAACGTGGGTGGAATATTGCTCTCATGGTGTCAGACTTGGCCGTGTGTTTAGCTTTGGCCAATAAAATGTGAGGTGAAGCTTTAAGAATCACTGGGGACCAGCTGTGGTGGCATATATGTTTAATCTCAGCACTCTGGAGACAGGAAGACGGATCTCTGTGAAGTTCAAAGCCAGCCTGGTCTACATAGCAAGTTCCATGCTAACCAGGGCTGCACAGTGAGGGCCTCTCTCAAAACAAACAGCAACCCAAACAAACAAAAAACATTGTGGCTAGCCCTGGTAGATACACCGATAAGATAATACCAATATGAAAATTGTAAAGAGGATGAGGCAGGAGATCATGAATTCACGATTGGCCTATAATTGGGCACTACAATCCCAGCACTCAGGAGGCTGAGACTGGAGGATTGCTTCAAGTTCCAGACTAGCCAGGGTTGGTGAGACAGCCCAGCAGGTAAAGGTGCCTGGCACCCACCTTGACTATCTGAATTTGATCCCAGCATCCACATAGTGGAAAAAGAAAACCAACTCCTGGAAATTGTTCTCTGATGTCCATATGCATGCTGTGGCATGTTTGCACCCCCCCACACACACATACACATGCACACAAAATAAATAAAAATTAAAAATTATAAAGAATCAGTGTATCCTTCTTTGGCCTGGATTTCAAAGTGAAGAAAATTTGGAACAGAGCTGCTGCTGACCCAAGAGAGACACACAAAGGAGATGTAACCTTGTCAAAAGGATCTGAGGCTAGGGGATTTTTTGCTACCTCAGCATAAACTCACCTGAGCTGACAGGCACAGTGTCTTCCCAGCCTACACTTCCTGTGGCTCCTGCTCATTCTGGAACTGCATTGTTCATCTTCTCTTGAGTTTCCAGAAACATATTTCCATACTCTATCTCCCGATCTATCCTTGCAATCAACAGGGACTAGCTCTTGAACAATCACATCGACCCATGGAGAGTTCTATCCACTAACATGGAAATGGCAGACCTGGTATATTATGATGGAGTAGTCCTTTTACCTAGTCATTTTCTAGTTCTACTGCCCAACACCGTAGCACCAAGAATGTATGAAATAGATGTGACTGTTGTAAAATTGAGGAATCTCATGATTTGAAGTATCGAATTTCATTTTACCAAGTTCCATATTTGAACATATTCAGGATTTTTGTGGTAGATGTGGTTTCTCAAACTTAAGGATATTTCAGTTTCCAGAATATCCTGCATTAGTAATGATGATAATGACGATGATGGTGATAGTGGTGGTGGTGGTGATGATGATGGTGAAGGTGGTGATGATGGTGATGGTGATGATGGTGGTGGTGATGATGGTGGTGGTGGTGGTGATGATGATGGTGGTGGTGATGATGGTGGTGATAGTGATATTAGTGATGATGATGATGATGATGATACATAAACATATGCAAAGCTCTTTTTTTTCCAAGACAAGGTTTATCTGAAATAGCCTTGGCTCTCCTGTAACTTGCTTTGTAGACCAGGCTGGCCTAGAACTCACAGAGATCTGCCTGCCTCTGGCTCCTGAGTGCTGGCTGGGATTAAAGGCGTGCGATACCCCCACCTGGCTTGCAAAACATTTTCTAAATTTGTTGCCTTTTAATTCACAATGTCATGCAAATGTTATCCACATTATCCACGTAGGGAGACTAGAGATGAGAAAGTTGGAGAAATTCTACAAATTACGGGCCTGACACTGTTCCCCCAAGCGTTTTTCCTCCATTGCTTCTCTCCCTCCCGCTAAGTGGCAGACATCCAGACCACAGTGGACACTCACCTCCATGACAGGTGCTGGGAGTTAATCAGTGACACTGTTGATTTGACTAAGTAAATGAATACATGAATGCATAACTAAATGAATGGGTGCATTAATAGATGGGCGGATGACAGGTCAATGGACAAGTAGATTTATAGATAGATAAATGGATGGGTACATGGGTAGATGATGAATGGATGGCCTCTTTTGTGTGGATGGATGAGGAGACAGATGAATGAAACTCTTGGGGTCTAAGGGGGAAAGATGAAGATGTTTTCTCAAATCTAGAAAATACACACAAACTCGCCTAATACTTTGCCACCTAGAATGCCCGGCATTTGGTTAATTGGCTACCCCTGCCTGCCCAGATCTTTCAATATTCCTCCACATCTAAGAGCAGAATGCTTTACCCACACAGGTATCTGCTCTAGCCTACACTTTCGTGCCACGCTCATTCCATTTCTCCAGGCCTCAGAGATGGACAGCACCTCCCTCACTGGGTTATTTGTGGGAAGAGATAACGGCATAGATCGGTTGGTAAAGTGCCCGGCATATGTAACTTTTCAATAAATAATTACTGGCACTCTTGTTAGTCTCTATCGTTCAGGATAGTTGCCTGTGGAAATCAAAGCCCCACTAAACATGCCATATTGTGATTATGGTCTTTAGCCTTTTTCATTAGTAGTGGAATCTGCAATAATACAATAACCTTTATTTTATTACACAGCCCTTGGAAATTGAGGGTTTCATCCATGTCAATTAATTTCTTCGCAGCCCACGTTGGCAGTGACAATCAGAATGTCAAAGTGTCTCTGAGGATTCCTAGGAAATCTGAGGCACTTTACAAAGAGCCCGCCCTGGGTGAAAGACCGGCCGGAATGAATCGTTAATATACTTCACTAGAAGGGGACTCTTCCAAAATGCTAATCCAATCAACCCACAAGGCAAACTTCAGGCTTCTTGTTCAGTGATCACACAGAGGATCTCAGGGCTAGGGCTCTGCTCTGGGGAGGCCAGAGGCCCTGTTCCTCAAACCAGGGAGAAGCCACACCCCCAATATGTCACAGCTGCTGAAAGTGGAGCCTGTGGGCCCAGTACCTCCTGTCACAATCAGCCAGGACAACATAGACTGACTGCCGCCCCCTGGGCTCTGGAGGGAGCCCTCACATCTTTGGAGAAGGCATCACCAGGAAAGCACATGTGTTGAGAAACGAACTGTTGGAAGAAGTAAGGAACTGCCCAAACCCAGCATTTGCTCCAGAGAGTACCTCAAAGGGTCCTCAGCCATCCATTGATCTCTGCACTCCCATCTGAACTCTTATTAACAGATGAGACATGCTCAAAAAAAATAAAATATCAAGGTTAGCTAGAGAGGCAAAGATCTAGCCCAGGGCTAGCTTCCCATCAAATCTCTAGCCACATCCTTTGCTCATGGGCTCTTCTCTTGCATGGTCCTCATCCTCCCTCTTCTCTCCCCAGAAAGCTCTTACTCATCCCTCAAGGCCCCGTTCATGGGTCACCCTCCAGTGAAAGTTCCAGGAATAAGTACTCTCCGTCTGCTTCAGAGAAATGGGTGGATGGAGTGGACAAAGGCTCCGAGTGCTCTTGTTCAGGTTTTTTGTTTTGTTTGTTTAGATTTATCGATGTGTATGGTGGTTTGTTCCCATTCATGTCTATGTGCCACATGCAAGCCTGGTGCCCATGGAGGTCAGAAAAGGGTGTCAGATCTCAGGGAACTGGAACTGAATCCAGGTCCCCTGGAAGAGCAGACGATGCTCTTAATCACCGAGCCGTCTCTCTAGCCCCTTTGATTGTGTTAATGTTAGAATCGGATCATACTGTGTGTTGGTTATACTTTCCTTCCGTCCCCCTTCCCTGCCCATAAGCAGGCCATTCCTGTTTGTCATTCTGGTCTGGGTTTGGAAGTCACTTCTGCCTTGCTTGCCACAACATCCCCAGCTCGGCCATGGGACTGTGTGCGTCTATGGACGGATGGTGCCCCGGGGGGTTTCAGCAGAACACGACTGTTTTTGGCAACCGTGCCCCTGATGGCGCCTGACGCCAAATAGGCACACAGTGTCTATCTGGTGATTACAGAGATGACACCGGGGCTCAGAAGTTCCCAGGTGTCTGTGCTCGGTGACCCCCATTGCTGCTCTTGGCCCCTCCAGATGCACAAAGGTACAGCGGATTCTCCCCCTCCTCCTTTGGGGGGCATTCTGTGCTGAAGCTCTAGGGCACTGGGGGGAGGGGAGTGGGGAGGAGTGAGGAGGGAGAGCTATGATGGATGGAGTGCAAAGGCACCAGGAGAGGCAAGCAGTTCCCCGAACCTGAATATCAGGAAGCTGTTAGCATCACGGTGATAGTGGGAAAATGCTAAGTGCTTCCTGGAAGCATGGAGCCCCTCCTCTGCCCCTGTCTGACTGAGGGCCTCCCAAGTTCCCACTTCTCCAAACAGGCCTCTAGGACTGACTGACATCCCCAAAGGCGGGCATACTACACTTCAAACCCCACCTTCACTTCCTATTCACTGTGCAGCTTTAGGCAGATTGCTCAGCCATTCTGAGCTCCGTTTCCATATTCATTTAAGGATGAGGATTAAACGAAGCACCACAGGCAATTCTCCTGGCTCTGGGGAAATGTTCCAGCTATGTTTGTTTTCTGTGATTATCATTCATCATCTTGTCAGTCGAGGGGAGCTCAGAGTGAGTGTGTAATGTGAGACTCGTCCCTCCCCATTTCTTTTTTTGAGACAGGGTTTCTCTGTGTAGCTCTGGCTGTCCTAGAACTCACTTCTGTAGACCAGGCTGGCCTCAAACATAAAGATCCTCCTGCTTCTGCCTGGTGAGTGCTGGGATTAAAGGTGTGCATCACCATGCCAGCCTAACGCCTCCCCATTTCAACCCAGCCCCTGATCGAAGCCCAGAGGGAAGTAGATAATTTGCCTCATGCAGAAATTCCACACCTGGGCTGGAGAGAGGGCTCAGAGGTTAAGAGCACTGACTGCTCTTCCAGAGGTCCTGAGTTCAATTCCCAGCAACCACATGGTGGCTCACAACCGTCTGTAATGAGATCTGGCGCCCTCTTCTGGCCTGCTGTCATATATGCTGTATACATAATAAAAAAAATAAAATCTTTAAAAAAAACCCAAAAAAACCTCACAATGTTATGGTTTTCTCACTTTTTTAAAAAAAGATTAATTTTTTAATTGGGTACACAGTGTTCTGCCTGCATGTATGTCTGAGCCACCATGTGGGTGCTGGGAATTGAACTCAGGACCTCTGGAAGAGTAGCCACTACACTTAACCTCTGAGCCATCTCTCCAGCCCAGTCTTTTTGCTTTATCATCAGCAAAAAAAAAAAAAAAAAAAAAAAAAAAAGCCACTGCTTGGGTAACTCACCTTATTAATTTCCTTGGCTTTGGTACAGCAAAGGATTCGCTGGCCCTCTGGAGAGAAACTCTGGTGCTTTTCAGCTGTGTGAGCATGGGTGACTTGCTTGGTCTCTCTGAGCTCCACTTCCTTCATCTGTAAGACGAGAATAGCCATCACGGCTCCCACCTTCACAGGAAGATCACTAATCCGGTGAGGAAACACAAGGAGCGTATCTGGTACACTGGGGCTGGTGCAGAAGAATCTGATACTGTTATCTTGTCATCTTACTTTGCCAGTGAGTTGATTACATGGCTAGTATGGGGGGGGGGGCGGACGTGTATCTAGTCTCTGACAGAGTCTGTGTTCTTCTGAAGTCCAGGCTCGACATGGTCACAGCTCTGTTCCTATCTCAGGCTGGGGACTGGCCCCTCCTCGACCGAAGGAGGGATCTCCTCCTCATGGTCCCTCCTAAACTCCCTAGCTTCCCAAGCAAGCGATGGATGCTCTGTTTCTCACAGGTCCCACTACTCTCTGAGTCATTGCCTGCAAAGCATCCTTTCCTGCCCTCTGAGGTCTGGGAAATGCAGCCCTTATATAATGACGGAGGCCCCCCCGAGCTTTTGGGGCTGGGTAGCTACTCAGGCTGGCTCAGTCCCCCACAGGCAGACAGAGCCCTGATCTGACTGTGAGACATGACGACATGCTGGGTGGCTTCTGCAAGCTTCGCTCTACCTGTCTGTAACTAGAGATGGTGGCTGATCCTTGGGGACATCCGACTGGCCTGGGTTTTATTCCTAAGTGGGCATCACCTGCCCTCATTCTTGCATATCCAAAGAGCTGTCAGTGTCCTGGAAGCGTGGCAGTTGTCTCTACTCTGTCATATATGGAAGGTGGTCCTATAGGGGTGGGGTGGGGTTTTATGGGAGAGGAAAGGACCCCTGACTCCCCACCTCCCACTATTTTTTTTCCAGGAGCAGATCTGGGGCCCCCACCTCCATCCAGGTGCCCAGAGGCCTGAGAAGCTGTCGAAAGCACTGAACCTAATGTGTATAACTGCAGGAGATGCCAGCCATCTCCTCCAGATGCGGGCTAAAAATACAGAGGAGTGAGGTCCCTCAGTAATGGAGACTTTAAGAGCCTGTGACATGCGGCGACGGCTGTGCGGCCGCTAATGAGCTCCTGGCCGATCGATGCCCAAGACCCAAGTGAGCGTGTGGGCTGGGAGCAGAGACGGGGTGTCACTCGTCATTTGTCCGTCCTGGCTCAGAAACCTGGAATGTTGGTGTGGGCCAGGAGACTGGGGATCAGCTTGAGTGACCCCTTAGCATTCAAACGGGGAGACTGAGGCCAAGAGACGGGAAGTAGGAAGACATGTCATGGAGAGCTGAGGCTTCAAGGGACCTTAACCAGATCTTGTTTCTCTCCTTCCCTGCCCCGCCCCCAGCTTTCTATTTCAAAGTCCAGCACAGAGCTTTATAGATCCTGCAAATGGATGAGAATTGAGCACTGAATGAATGAATGAATGAATGAATGAATGAATGCATGCATGCATGAATGAACATTTGCCCCACTGCAATGTGGGATTCCCCAGTGCAAGGGACTACAAGCTAGACTTCCTATTGCCCCAGGAGTACCCAGCACCAAGAAGATACTCAGAAAGGATTTGCTGCATGAACGACTCCACCCCCTTCTGCACACAAAGACAAGGAAGCCTGTGAAAATCGTGTCCAAGGTCTATTGTCACTGGTCCTACCTCTCAAAGAGGGTAGCCACGTCTGCCAGAGAGAGTACCCAACAGCACAGTACAGCAGACGTTGCCTGAACTTGTTGCAGGCGAAGTCCTGAGTTTTACACAAATCATCTCAGTCCTCCTGTCAACTCTGTGCTTAAGCTCAATTTTTATACCCATTTTATACAGAGGAAAGCTAACAGAGATCACAGAGGTTGTGCTCCTAGTCCTGCATCGGGCCTAGAAAGATATCGAGCCAGGATTCAAACTCATGCCAGCCTGTCACTCCCTAACCACTGCACTACCCCTGCTTCTCTACGGTACAGCAGGAAAGGACAGGAGAATTGTGGCCCAGAGAAATCCACGCAAGATAGAAGGGATGAAAAAAAAAAAAAAACACCTCCAGGGCTCATAAAGTGTTTGATAAATTCCAGGAGAAGAATAGGAAGAAATAATGAGCATTTGTCAGAGTCTTTGATAGCATGTAAGTCGCTTTTCCCCGCGTCCTCTCATCTGATCTTCACCGCAGGCCTGGGAGGAAGGTATTATCATTATCTACATTTTATTGGTGAGGAAAGGAAGGCACTCACACCTCCCAGCCTGAGCGGGCAGGCTGTGCACCTGGGGGGCGGGGCAGCGGGGCAGCCGTGAAGGCTGTCAGAACCTCACCCCCAGCCGCCACTGGCACAGGCTGAGGCTCCTGCCTGCTCGTTAGAACCACAGGGGAAGGGCCAGCAGGGGGCCCAGCCCGGTCCCAAAACCACATCTTCCAAAGCGGTAGAGAGAACACAGTGGCCCTTTCCGGGCCAGGCCCTCACTCCCGCTTGGAGCTGCCCATTCTTTTGGCAGCACCGTAGAAAGCAAAAGCATTCGCCAACAACACCGAGTTTGGCAGAGGGAAAATCAACTCTGGGGGAAGAGTTTAATTAAGCTGAAGCATGGTGGCTCACGCTTGTGATCCCGGCAATCTGAAGGCAGAGACAGGGGGATTGCTGCAAGTTAGGGTTATGTAGGGAGTTCTGGGCCAGCCAAGGTTACATAGCAAGACTCTGTCTCAAGAACACAAAACAAAGCAAACCAAAAGGGAGCTTGCTCAAGAAGCAAAAGTGTGGTGGTTCAAGCACAGAAACCGTGTTTGGAAGGAGACCAGAGCCCACCACACTCTTCTGTCTCCTCTGGCTCCCAGGTCCTCCAACAGAAATTTAACCCTTTGAACATGTGGCCAAGGTTGGGCAGAGAATAAATATGGTGACGCCCCTTTGAATGGTCTCACAAGAGTCCCTAAGTTCAGGTCTGCCATAATGGAGAGTTGGTGCAGGGCTCCTCTTCTGCACCCAGTCTCCTATCTCAAAAGGGGGCAGGAGTGCCAGGAAGTGGCTGCCTGCACCCTGGCGCGTCCTCATTTTGCTATAGGATTGATCTCATTCTGCAAAAGTTTTACCATCTGCACGTTCTGTATCAATTCAGATGGGTGCATCAAAAAGACAACAACAGCAAACCCCCCCCCCAAAAAAAAAAAAGAAAATCCCAAAGCCGTGTATGGTGATATATGATTCTAATCCCATAACTTGGAAGATAGAGCTTCAGGCCATCCAGGGATACATAGTGAGATCTTGTCTCAAAATAACAACAAAACTCAGATATGTGCAAAAATGAGAACCTAGATTTTATGCAATTGCATTTTTTTTTTCATTTCATAGTCCTGTGATTGAAAGGGGAAACTCAGAGAAAGACTGCTCCTGCAGGATTCAGACTGGTTTCAGCAAGGAGGAGCCCGGCTGCATGCCAGGTCCTGGGCTAGGATTTGAAACTCAAGTGCTGGACTAGCCTGTCCCTGATGTCAGGCATTTCAGGCCCAGAGGACACACGAACGATCTCCACAAGATGTCGGTAGAGGCTCTCACCCAGTGCTGTAGAGGGAGGTGGTGGTAGAGGCCGATGAGATGGCCATGTCAAACTTCAGCTCTGGGTCAAGCTGCGGTGTGAACTCTGCTACTTTGAGCAGGTGACTTTGGACAAGCTGCTGGGCCTCTTTGTGACTCGGTTTCCTTACGTGTGAAATCAGAATAACGATGCCAACTTTCCCATCATGGGGCTGCAAGGACTGAGTTAATTCACACAATGTTCTTAGAACAGTGCCTGGTCAACAGTAGAATGTATGACGTGTCAACTGTCACTGTTTTTTCCTTATAAGTCGTAAGACTTAGATACGAGAAACCATTTGGGCAGCACTTAGCCTGGAGTAAGCGCTCAATAAAGATAAGCCGCTATTATATGTGTTATTAAGTCTAAGTTGCCATTGCTGGCCAGGTGGATGGGAGGGAGGACAGGAGAGGGACCCAAGGCAGAGAAGACAGCAAAGGCCTGAAAGCCAGACAGAGCCTGGCACATCTGGCCAAGTCAAGAAGCTCAGTTAGATTGGCACACAGCCTGGGTTCCAGGAAAGAGGCAGGAAGAAAGGGCCTGGAAAGGTAGAGGCTGAGGCTGGACCTCAGGGCATCTGGAGTAGTGAGCCTCCCTCACCCCATACCCCGTGCTGCGCTGAGTGCCTGGGTTAGTGAAGGCTTGCCGGGGGCCGAGGGGGAGATGGGCAGTGTGAGGGGGCTGCTCTGGACCCAGCCCCTTCAAGCTCACAGCCACCCTTCCTGGAACCACCAGCTATCAATTAGGGAGTTTCTGCGCAAGAGGCTCGCCTTTCCCGTGTGACGCGTGTCACATCCGGGAACGATCAAAACAGCTCGGCTTCGGCAAAGCGTCTTGTGCTGCTGCGTGTTTGTTCTTTGGTGTCTGAGAGAAACTCTTGTTGTTCTCGAGACACCTGCGATTTGCTGGTCTCTGACAGATATTACCTGCTCAAAGCCTCTGCTTGTCACACAGCCCACCTGGTGGCACCCTGTTCCTTTCCGCTCTTAGCCATCCTCGTAGTAGTTAGTTCTACTTCAGGCCACGACGGGGCGGGGTAGAAGGAAATCCGGCTGGAAAAGACGGCCAGAGTTCAGAAATCACCTCCAGCCTTTAGGAACGCCGACTCAGTAGACTTTACTGTGTGACGAGTGTTCCTGAAAGGTAAGATTTGAACTCAGATCTCTGCCATTGCAGTCTGTATGTATACTTGCTCCCAGACCAGTCTGCCTCTCTCTCCAGCTCCCTCACTCCCCACCCAGCTGGTCCTGGAGAAAAGAGTGCGAGACAGCTGGGATTCAACATAGGCAGCTAGGTCAATATATGGAAGCTGTCTCATCAGATCCCAAGGCTTCATTACCCCTGAGGAAAATACCCCCCCCCCATGTGAAATCAACCAGTGTGGGCCTCCAAATCTTGGCCCCTCTCAAAGCCAGTCCCTCGCTCACCATCAGCAACAGTAGCTTGGTTCATCCAAGTCCCTTCCTGCGATGACCCTTTGGTCCCCATCACTTCCCTAGACAAGCTCCACTTTGAGTTCACGCACATCGAGCAGTCAGTTCACGGTCGCTGTCGTTATCATCACGACAGGTCCAAACATGGTCTGTGTGAGGCTTAAGGGCCTTTGTCCATGTTCTGGGACCCTGAGGGTGTGGGAGCAAAGAACATGCCTGGCGTCCATTTGTGGTGATCCCCTTGCAGGCAGAGCTCAGTGTCCTGTTCCCTTCTGCAGGCTGGACTCCAGTAGGTGCTAAAAAAAATCTTTGTCAAATAATTCTAATCATGGGTGCTATTGTTGGTTACGCTGCCCTGCCTTTCATTTACAGGATCCCACTCAGCTCTGACAGTCATCACAGAGAGGAGGTATTACACACCTTCCCATGGCAGGACACTGAGGATCTGGATGGTAGTGTCATGTGATACAGGTCACAGCCAGAAGTGGAGCCAGGAGGCCCAAGTAGAGCTCCCTGGTCCTTGGCCTGTACCCCTTATCCCCACCTCATATAACCCTTTAGTGCAGCCAGGGGACGGGTGGAGGAGCCCCTGCAAACCTCCGGGTCTGCTGTACCACCTGAGGCCTCCCCACAAGCCTTGGGCGCTCGGGTCTCTGCCCACGCTGCATCCTTCCCTGACCCACAATGCAGTGCAAAGCCCCTCTCAACAGGGCTCCTTATTCCTAATCATAGGAGAGAAAGCTCAGTTCAAAGTCATTTCTGACTCCATTCAAGTCAAGTAACAGCTCTCACTCTGCCTCTCTGACCCCCCCACCACCCCACCTCCTCCGACTGGCGCCAACAACACAAGATAAATCTTTCCTCTGAAATATAATAGTTGTTCTTTCCTCTTCCCGTTGAAGCCTCTGCCAGGTAATTAGCATACGCTGACACCTTGATAGACGAAAAGAAAGGCAAGAGATAATTCCCTTTTTCTTTAACCATTATAGTATGAAGGAGCCTTTCAATTTGCCAGTTACCCAATCCAGCATTCCTGCACGCAGCCCACCGTGTGACATGTTATTCTAGCTGATCCTACCATCTCTGCTATTCATCACCCACCCCAGGTCACACTTGATGGAGCAATTGCCCTCTTCGCTGCTGACACCTTCCAGGTAGGAGGGGCAGCCAAGGTTCAAACTGGCTGGAAATTGCAGGCTTGATATGGTTATCCTCAGTTGAGCACCACCCAGCCAGTAGCCTGAGGCCTTGGAAAGGCCTCTTACAGGTCATTTTTGGAATCCCCCCTTTCCTTCTCTCCATGTTTTGCTCCCCCAAAGAGGCTGGACTTTGACCAGACTCAGGGAGTAACTAAGACAGAAAAGTTGGTACCAGGGCGACAGGCCTGACCATGCTGGATTTTGGAGGATATAGTAGGTTTGGGGATTTTGGACTAGGAACGTTAAATGCCTTGATGGAGGCTTAGTAGGCCATTCTAGTACAAGCTTGAAGGACAATAGTGCTGAGAGCACTGTGGACTACGGAGGCCCAGCTCAAGAGGTTTCAGAGTGGGGATAATATTAACAGCTGGGCTAGAGACCATTCTTAACGGTATTTTGGCATTCTAGATTTCTGCTCTCGTCCTAAGAATCTGCCTGAGGCTAAGTTGAAAGGTATTAGGTTAGTGTTCTTGGCAGAGGAGATTTCAAGACAGCCTAATGTGGACTCTGTCATGTGGTTATTAGTAGTCACTCTCATGCAGGCATATAACGAAAAAGAACACACAGGGCTAAAAGAAATACAAAATGAAGCCTCCCCCCCCAAAAAAAAAGAGCATCAAGAGGTTTAATGTGGGAGTCAAGGCTTGTGCTAAAAGATGTGAAAGATTAAAGAGATAAGATGTATTCTGAAACAGAATCAAAGTTCTCAGGGTGAGACCCCACCCAAGTTTCCAACTTGTAAAAAGGGAAGGCCTGAGGAATTTTGTTCTTTGCTCCTGAAGAGCAGCAACAAAGAAGAGCTGCTGTAAAAATGAGATTCAGGGGCGCTGGGGGTGGGGGCGGGCTCCCGCCCAAGCAGGCAGCTGCACTGGGCATCATCTATCTGCTGGGTGGCTCTGGCTTCAGAGAGGTGGAGGATACCCGGGTAAAGAGGTTATGGCGTCTTCTCCCGTGGCTAAGGAGTACTGCCGAGGCCAGGCATGCGGCAAGGGAGTCCCTGCATGGAGGTCCCGAGAAGCCGTGAAAAGGAAGCCTAGATGTCGTTGGAGACCCCAAGATATGGAAGATGTCAGAGTCATGGGATAGCTACCAAGGGAAGCCCTGGAGAGGGAAGTGTGTGGTAGTCAGCAAGTCCAGAAGAGCAGAGCCATCTAAGCTCCTCAGCGTCCACCAGACATGGAGCTACAGGATCTGGAGTTTGCCCTGCTGAGTTTGGATCTTGCTGGGGGCCAGTATTTCCGCATTATGCTCCCTTCCAGCCCTTTCGGAACGGTAAAGTATATTCTGCACCATTGTGTGTCGGAAGTATGTAATTTGCTTTTTTGATTTTATAGGGGGGGTTATAATTAAGAAATTGCCTCAAGTCTCAGAAGAGACTTTGGACTTTTAAACTAGGTTGAGACTGAAAGGCTGTGGGGACTTTCGAAGTTAGATTAAATGCATTATGACATGGCCATGAGCCTATGAGGGAAGGTTGGGGGAGTAGGATGTGATGGTTTGATAAGAATGCCCCCACCCCCAGGATCATATTTTGAATGTTTGGTCCTCAGTTGGTGGAACTATTGAGAAAGATTAGGTGCTGTGGCCTTGCTGGGGGAGATGTGTCACTAGGGTGTGCTTTGAGGTTTCAAAATACTTCTGCAATTTCCAGTGTCTGTTTCTCTCTGCCTCCTACTTGAGGGTCAAGAGGTGAGATCTCAACTCTTTCTGACCCCATACCCTTGCTCTGCTATCATGGACTCTAATCCTCAGAAACGCTAAACTTCAAATTAAATGCTGATTTTGTAAGTTGCCTTGGTCAGTCAGGCGGTCGTGGCTCACATCTTTAACCCCAGCGCTTGGAAGGCAGAGGCAGGCGGATCTTTGGGTTGGAAGCCAGCCTAGTCTGGATAGTTCCAGGATAGCCAGGACTACGTACAGAAACCCTGTTTTAAACAAAACAACAACAAGCACAAAATGAGTTGCTCAGTCATGGTGTTTCATCATAAAAATAAAAAGGTGACGAAGGCAGGAGACAAGCAGCTTGGTCATCTATTTGGTAAGACAGAAAAAGCTTCCTGGGACGGCCAGCCAGCAAGGCCTCCCAAGGCCAGGGGCCAGGCGTCATGCATCCGAGTAGAAACTGAAACCAGAAGCACTCTGACAACCCATCAAGACTGCCCCAAGAAGCCTCTGGCCCCCATCTCTCAAGTCCCTTCCTAAGGAACAGGTCCACTCCAGGCAAGAGATAGATGTCTCACTCCATCCTCTTCCTGGTTTGCTCTTGGGCCCCTTCTCTTGAGTGGAGCAGGTTCTGATCCCCTCCTGTGGGCCCAGAGCTGGGGTGAGAGCTGGATCGAGAGCCTGGAAGATAGTCTTAGCCAGTGCAAACACACCTCCTTCCCTCCTTCATCTAAGGTGGGGAAAGAGATGTTAGGCGGGGCTGGAGAGTTGGCTCAGAGGTTAAGAGCACTGGCTGCTCTTCCAGAGGTCCTGAGTTCAATTCCCAGCAACCACATGGTGGCTCACAGCCATCCATAATGAGATCTGGTGCCCTCTTCAGGCCAAAAGGACACTGTATACATAATAAATAAATTGAGAGAGAGAGAGAGAGATCAGGCATGGTAGTCCATGGCCAAAAGTCCAGCACTCAGGAGACGGAGGTAGGAAGATTCTGAGCTCCAGATAAGCCTAGGCTGCTCCATGGCAAGATCCTGACACTCTTGTATTCTAGACTTCTTTCCTTCTCTCTCTCTCTCTCTCTCTCTCTCTCTCTCTCTCTCTCTCTCTCTCTCTCTTCCCCCACCACCACCATCACCTCTTCCTCCGGCTCCTCCTCCTTGAGACAGGGTCTTGTGTAGCCTTTGTTATCCTGTAACTCACTATTGTATACCAAGTTTGTCTGGAACTCACAGAGCTCCATCTGCCTCAGCCTCTCAAATGCTGGAATTAAAATATATACCACCCAGATCTTTATTCTTATTTTAAAAGTATTTATTTCTATCATATATTTATTTATTTTGAGATAGGATCTCATTACATAGCCTAGAACTCACAGAGACCTGTCTGCCTCTCTATCTTCCAAGTAATAAGATTAAGGGTATGTGGTACCTTAGTAAGCTTTATTTTTATCTGTGTGTGTGTGTGTGTGTGTGTGTGTGTGTGTGTGTGTGTGTGTTTGTGTCTCTGTGTGTGGGAATGTACCTGTGCATATGTATGTATGTACATGTGTATATGTACCCATGTGTTTGCGTGTATGTGTATATGTGTGTGTGCCACATGTGTGCAGGTGCACTCCAAGTCCAGAAGAGGGAGTCTGATCTCCTAGGACTAGAATTACAAGTGACTGTGAGCAGCCTGATGTGGGTGCTGGAAACTGAACTCAGGTCCTCTGGAAGAGTAGTAGTTCTTAACCACTGAGCCATCTCTCCAGCCCTAGCCCTACCTTAAAAGAGGAGGGTAAGAAGTATTTATTTTTATAATTTAAATGTCATACGCCTTTAATCCCAGCACTCAGGAGGCAGAGCCAGGTGGATCTCTGAGAGTTCGAGGCCAGCCTGGTCTACAGAGCAAGATCCAGGACAGGCACCAAAACAACACGGAGAATCTCTGTCCCGAAAATCGAAACTAAACTAAACTAAAATAAAAATGGGGCTAGAGACAAATATAGACTAAATACCCATACACATAAAATAAAGAGCTAGCTTTAAAAAAAACCTTACAATTTCTTTTATTTATTCTTTGACAGTTTTATATATGTATACAGTATATCTTGATTATCCAGCTCTACCTCTAATTCCCCGGGGACAACCCCCAACAAATCCCCACCCACTTTTTTTTAACCCATTGAGTCCAGTTAGTGCTGCCTGCTGGGCAGCTGCCTGATGTTGGTGGCTTGGCCCTGTGCAGGCCTTATGCAGGTGACCATGCCAATGTGGACTTGTGAATGGAACAGCAACGTCATGTTCAGAAGACAGCGTGGCACAGAGCTCCTCCCCACCCTCCAGCTTGGGGTAAGAGATTTTATCTTTTTTTTTTTTAATTTTTGTTTTGTTTCTTTGGGTTTGGTTTGGTTTTTCGAGACAGGGTTTCTCCGCATAGCTCTGCCTGTCCTGGAACCCGCTCTGTAGACCAGGCTGGCCTCAAACTCACAGAGATCTGCCTGCCTCTGCCTCCCAGGTGCTGGGATTAAAGGTGTGCGCCACCACTGTCCAGCGGCAGGTTAGAGGTTTTAAATAAAGGAACCAGCCTGAGGATCCACCTAGGTCTCCATATCCACAGCTGACCGGGAAGAGCAGCCAGCTACCCAGTTCCAGACACCCCTGAAGGATGCTCTAGTTCTAGAGTGCCCCATGGGCCAACGAAAGTCTGATGCTGGACCTGGACCCCAGACCCTTGCAGTGTACATTCCTGCTTCTGTTCCTCTTGCACAGGCACTGAGCCCAAAGAACACTTAAACAGATTCCATGCACAAAATCAAAGCCAAGTACACAACACAAAACATTCCACTGGCCTTCAGCAATGTGCATGAATTTTTTTTTTTTTTTTTGAGACAGGGTTTCTCTGCATAGCTTTGCTCCTTTCCTGGAACTCATTTGATAGCCCAGGCTGGCCTCAAACTCACAGAGATCCGCCTGGCTCTGCCTCCCAAGTGCTGGGATTAAAGGCACGCGCCGCCGCCGCCGCCGCCGCCGCCGCC